TTTGAAAGACGCCTTCGATTGACTCTCCTGGCACTACTTGGACATTCTTCGGGAAATTTCACTATTTTGCGGCACTAGATCACGCTTCCTCCGGCGTTCCCTTCTGACACACTGTCACATGTCACTGAAGGGGCTTCACCATGCGAACTGTCCTTGCACACAAAATTAGATCGTTCTTGAAGAGAAGAAAGTCTTGACTGTTCACATAAACTCAATGTTCACAGGCGAAAAAGGTCCAGTTCTAAATTTGCTCTCAGGAACAATCCCTAAAAGCTGCCACCAATTTTCAATATTTACTGCTGCGGTGTAGTGGCCGAAACCGCTATGCAAACCCTGGGTTGTGACATCCGGTTGAAAACAAAACACAGCATAAAAATATTTATTGAATGCTAAAAAAATGGCTACATACAATTCGACAAGAGAAAAAATTATCTTTTTTCAAAAATCAAATTCTATACATCAATCGTGCGAGAGCCATACGTGGCTATCGAGCCTGCGTTTTTAACATTGCCAGCAATTTAATATTATTTTAACAACAACTATTTTGTACAACTTAATATTATTTTAATAACGATTAAATAATTATATTTAGTCCCGTGATTTCATAACGTATATTGCACTCCTGAATTTGCAATTTGAAATCATTCGTCGTAGATTTATGCGACCTTATCACACCAGGAAGGATGCGAAAAGGCAGGAAAAAATACTCTCACTTTTAATGAGCGACTACGAATTAGAGGACCCAATCGTCAAATACTGCTGTGACAAATTATCGTCCACCACCTTTTGGTTTAGTTTCCACTAGTATAGCCATTTAGAATTTTTTTCGAAGTCAAGAGATTGCAGGATCTCGCAATGTCCTCGCCAGGGTAAGAACTCCAGACTTCCTGAATACGCATTGAGCGTGCTCATGCGGAAAGGAGAGAGAAAATACCATGTAACTTCAACAATTAGTATTAAATGTAATGTTATAATAATAATGTCATTATGTTCGCCTATGTGCCTTCATGAGGGCAATGAAAAAAAAATAGATTGGATTGGACTATTTTAATTAAAGCATACAAGAAAGCTATTTAACAGGAGGAAGGCCTTCGTGGAAAATGTTTTAAGGAAAAATGCTTCTCGTTATACAAAGGTAGAGGTACAGGTAAAAGTGTTGGGAGCACAAGAACTTCATTAAAAGATTGCACAGATATAGGTCCCAATCACTAACCGAATAGAGCAAGGAGGGAAGGACAGAAGAAGAATAAAGCTGATGATAGTTCTTTAGAGGGATATTTAGAAGTTTATTATTAAGAGAGGAGGGCAGGAAGGGAGAAAGGTTATTAGAAGAAAAAGAAGAAAACTAGAAAAAGGGTTATTAAAAGGGTTACTGTGTAGTGACAATTAATAGCCCACCGGATGAGACCAGATCTCGAAGCTTTTTACCATTGGGAAAGGAGAGAAATCTAATAAAACAAATTTTACATTAAGCTAGTATAGAATATATCATATGACAAATTTAGAATAATTCTTAATATAGACAAAAAAAGAAAAAAAATCGGAAAACGAAAACAATAGTCTTTCAGGGAGAAAGCCCCTTTAGACTAAAAAAATATATAGAATAATATATCAAGTATACAATAACACATAATGTGTCATTATAACAAAATGTTGAATTTTCCAAATTTGGAATAAAATTCTAAAACATAAGATATATCATATGATAAGTATAGAATAATACTTAAAATATAGCATAAAAGGGTAAAATCCCGGAGTACAAGTAATCACGGAGTAAAATCATGTACAAATCATGGAGTAAATCAAGAGTAAAATTATACAAGGGTAAAATCACAAAAGCTGCTAGGCAAACTGCCCGTTTGCTGGGATTGGACACCAATCGAATTACTAATTTTTACTCTTTTATCGCTCGGCCACTGACGGGGAAATGGACAAAATAACGATACACTTACTGAAGAGGAATTCAAAAGAAGCCGTTGCAGATCTTCGTTGTTCCGTATATTACTTTGTATGATTCTTATGTGGAAGGCATATGCGTCTAAGAAACATTTCCACAGGAAAGCAATGACTAAAAATAAAACACCTAAGAAACTACATATTCTATACGTATAATATGTATGCATCTCTATAAAATAAATTTTTCACCTGATTCCAGAAAGGCAAGTGCCCAGTTTGATCCCCTTCCCTCTGCGGACATTTGATGTTTTGGATAGGTTAAAATGCAGTACCGCTCCTTGGGTTTAAGAGGCACCTTTATATGAGGTTATCTTTCAGTGTCTCCATAAAACAGAATTCTCGTATTTCCCCATAAAACTGTCATTTCTTCGTAAAACAGAAAAGAACAGAGTCTTTCAGAATTCTTTCTTGTCAAAGGAAAAGACGGAAATTATTAAACAGTTTTGTGACAAAATCTACAAATGCTAGTTTTAAGAAAATTTTAAAGAAAATGAACAAGTTTTCTCAAATCACGGATAATGTTATTAAATTTCTGACACATTTCTCAATAACATATGCATTTGAGAATGATTTTTCATCCGAGGTGTGACAAAAACGATAATAACCTCATAAAGCTAAATTTGCCAACCTACGCTTGAAAACATTATTAGCTGGACCATCTGTCAGCAGAAAGCTGTGACAAGCAATGCTACCAAAGCTACCAAAAACTACCTACAAACTCCAAGATTAGGATTAAAATTGTTTATAATTATTTGTAATTTTTTTCTGTATTAAAACAAACTCTAAGAAAAGCTCCGAAAATAATTCGGTATTTTATGAGATAATAACATTTACATTTTATTTTAAGACTCATCCTAACGGTTATTAATAAAAGGTAATATCAGATGAAAGGTGACTGCACTCTAAGCATATTTGCACTAAATCTAGTACTTTTAATACATTTTTTGTGTTCTAGTATCTTCAAATCCAAAGTGCATTCTTCTTTCTCAGTTACAATAACAAAAATAATACGATATACATATGAATTTTTATTACATCCTAAGTGCAATAAAAGATGGTTTTAACATACCAAATCAATTTAATTGCATGACAAAATCTCTTAATTAAGCCACATCTTCTTTTCTTGATATCTCTCTTAACAAAAGTAATAATTCTAGAAATATTTTATGAAATCAATGTTATAAACAACATAAGAAAAGTAAAGACAGTTGTCAATGTTCATTTCTTAGAAATAGAATATATATGTATATACAAAAGCGAGAGTGAAAAATCGTTTAATTTAGATGATATTTAATACATTTAGAATGTTGTAGAGACATTGGGTTATTTTGGAAGTAGTAGGCATGAAAAATGAGCAATGCCCACGCACCTCTCGATTATGCGCCGAGTGTGCTAACCACTACACCACGAAGGCAAGCTAAAAAGGCGGGATACCTAATGTAAAGTTTCAGAAAGAGACATAAGACATTCTAAGATGAAATATCATAGAACACCATTTATTTTGAGTTCTTAACCAAGTTTTCAAAAGTAAATTTAAGAGATCCTTTAGTTTAATAATGCAAATATGAAAAAGCAGATTGTTTTTACATTTTAATATAATTTTCTTTGAATTTTCTAAATCGTATTGAGAAAATAGCTATGTGAAGGTACTGACGAGGAATTTTTATTTCTTGAGGACTGTAGGAAGACCGAAATAAGACAAAAAAACTTATAGCGTCGTAAAGTAAAAAATTTAAATGAAAAATGTTGTAAGAGAACAAATACTTCCTTGACGTAACAATATTAATTACAACCGTCTTTATATCTCTCATTTGTCAGCAGCAGCTAAAAAAGTATTTACAATAGCGGCAGTGAATAAAATGAAATATTAACTAAACAAACTCCTTTGAAAAATGACTCCTTCTACCAAAGGAAAAATTAAAATATTGGTCAACAGCAGATTCTCTTTCTTAAGAGTTAATTAATTTTAGCAAATCAGCTAAAAATAAAATATAAATACTTCCAGTTTGTTTCTTGCCTTTTTTTGTTGTTTTTCTTGCAATATTTAGGATGTTACACAATTGAAATTTCAGTACATAAATTGCATATTAAGTTAATGAAATGCCTGAGAAAAATCAAATGACTAAAAGTGTCAACTTTACAGGTAACAAGAGTAAGAGAAGTTTTTCCCTTTATTATTTTTTTCCAGACACGAACTTTTCAGCTGTAATAAGATAGAGTTATGTTCTAAAATGTCCTAAGCAGAATAAAATAAATTTAGTACCTTTTTTTTCAGATTTAGTACCTTTTTTCTTGCATGATTTAGTAAGGAATATTGGTTGGTGATCATCCTGATTAGGTTTTTAAAAATAGGATTCATTTGAGATTAATGGCTCTTTTATTATTATATGTTTTTTCAGTTTCTCTACATATAATATAAGAAAGAGTCTGCCTGTGTGTGCCTTTCGTTCGTGCTGCGCGTAAGCTAATAGACCCAGGGCTACGAAATTTGGTACAGGTGCATCTAGACAAGTGCTACATGCCATTGTTGCTCTTATATCACTGTTTCCATTGCCGATAATGGCAACAGTTTACCACTATTGCCACTCGGCAAAATGAGGTCGATAATTCTGTGCAGTTTCTAAAGTTAATATTTCTCTTGGATACTGGATGTTTATGGAGAGAAAGCAACGGGAAGTTGGTTAATTTATTTATTAGGATAATTAATATTTGTGTTAAGGGATATTGCTCATTTCATTGTAATTTTTTTATATGTAATAGGTTTTTACTGAAATTTGTTGTTCTGCAGAGTAAAATTCTGCGCAGTTTTTAAATTTAATGTTTGGTGTTCTCTTTAGGCAATTTTCCGGTAAATTTAAAAGCCAGACGAAGGCTGGCCGCGTAACGGCTAATTAAAAATAAAATTTTTAATCAGTTTTTTCGTAAATTAAAAATTTATTGTTAATTAACTAAAATTAATTTCAGTAATTAAAAATCTGTTATTCTGCTTCAAGCAGTGAAACAACAGGAAGTTGCAGAACGGAAAAAATAAATAAACACAAGAATAGTAGAAAATACTACCTTTTATTTAAGAAAGATTATCTCCTACAATGTCATAAAAACTTATGATATAAAAAAAGGAAAATTTTCACGATAGTTAAAATTACATTAGAAATATTTTTTTTGTAATGCCTTTGTACATTTTGAAACATTCAATCAAGATGATGGGGCGGTTCCAATAACACAACAGGCAAGTCGAGATCCCGCATTACCCGTTTTCTTGCTTTCTGGATTACTCCCTCTTCCAAGGTCGTCTGCTCTCTCGTGAATCTGAAATAAAATCATAGCAATGAAAGAAACGCATATTTGGTTTAAATACTATTATTTATCACACACGAAACGTATGCTGCAAAACTCCTTTTAAAATTGTATACTTCTGAAAGTATGAAGTAGAAACACTAGTATGCTTAATTTACAATACATACATAATTAGCAATACAATCATTGTCGAAAAAATTGCGAAACGCCTCTTTTTTCGGTTGTCTAGATGTTCTTAGGCTGTCCTGAATGCAGTCATCTCAGTTCTCATAGTGTTTTCAGTGAGCGCTACGTAGGATACACATCGGATTTATATATAGCAGGTCGTTCTAGCATACGTATTTTGATATAAAATCGGACTTTTATAAAATGACATGCCGATTGTTTTCTATATTTCGATTCTGTGGCTCAAATTCCAATATTTGTTCACAAAGGAAGACATATGGCAGTTTTTAAGGTAGGAAATGCAGCTAAACCTATTTATGAAACCAACCAGTATCAACCGGGACGCTAGATTAAAAGCAATGAAGTTGTATGAAGCATTTTATCATTTCCAGTACATGAACGTCATTCAACAATCGTTCATTTGGCAATGTATGAACAGCACATGCACTTCACACCAGATTAACGTACAAGAGCACTGACACCACCGCCAGCAACGTTAACTCCATTTTTATCATTGTGTCCGGATGATATGTTTGCAAAGACACTACTTTACTCTGAAGTGCTAAATACTATAATGCATCAACGAAAAATTTTAAACGTCGCAAACAAGGTAAAACAATTACGGGACAACCCAATTTATAGTCGACTGACGAGTTAGGCCGTCTGTACACTGTTCACCCAAACAATTGAGAATGCTTTTACTTGCGATTATTGTTAATCAATGTATATGGACCAACATCCTTCCAAAAACTGAGAATAGTTAACGCTCAATGCGCCACTTATACACACGATACACACTGGAACACTTCACTCATTGATGCATCGAATACCACTCAACCGCAGCAAATACGCACGTTATTTGAAATCATATTACCTACGTGCTTCCTTTCCAATTAAATGATCTTATGGGAAAATACAAAGAATATAAGAGAGAAGACATCCTACATCGTTTGTGTGTAACAAATCAAATTCCGGACATTCAATTCATACCAAACGTGTTTAACGAGGCACTGGTTTCGATTGAGGACATATGTTTGGCAATCGCTAACAAAGTACTGAAACAGTTAGGAATAGCTACACCGAATCGATCCCGAAACGATCTTTGCGATCATGATTTGCAACGAGAAACACACTTTGGTGTTGACGAAGTGGTTACATTTGTTCGGACGAAATTTTCGAAATTGGTTACATAGCGTATCACAAAGCTATGCATGCGATTAGAAGCCAAAGAGGCGAATTGTATTTCCTAGCCAAGTCGCCAAAATTGGCGACTATTTGGTGATATCTTGGTCCAGTCCCTGTATCACCGTAATAGATATAGTAACTAGATAACTATGATTGATGTTCTGTGTAGTTGTATAATCGTAATTGGGTCCTCATATGCCATGCAGTAATTTCGAGAAGCAGAAAGTACTAGAAAACTCGGCGGCAGGGAGAAAACTATATAAGACAGGAAAGAACATCTGCTCTCAAGATGTTGTTGTGAGTTGCTAGTTCACAGCGACTCCAGAGCATTGATAGTTTCGCCTTTTAGATGATTACATTGTGTTTAATGTTCTTAGTAGTTTGAAGTGTACCTACTGATTGTATTCTGTGATAGTGCGAAGAACTGTACGACTATATTTGTGAAACGTTTCAGGCCTCTGGAGTATTCAATCTATTACGAATTCTTACGCACGCAACAGTATGTTTCTAGTTATATTAATTCGTTTAAATCCATACCTATTTTAAGGAGTCATTTTTCCTCGTTTAATATTATTATTCGGTTAATGTTATCAAAATAGTCATGAACAAATGTAATCACACTAAGTGGCGCCTATTGTACATATCACTTATTATAAGAAATCTGAACACAAGTATTCATTTTCAGGAATCCTTTTCTGGTGCTCTATTAAACAACATATTAATTTATTCACTTGTAATGATCTACAATATTTTTTTTTGCTAATTCTAATCTTTGATATTTTCGTTTATGATAGCATATAACTCTTTTCGTGAAACATAAATTTTAATTGAAGTTTTACAAAACATTCAAACATTGGCATAATCCATCAACGTCCGTAGATACTTGAAGTTGTCTTCTGAACAGAGATTTATGGCCTAATTCCCTATTTATGCAAGGATATACGCATATGTTTTTATTATTATTATTATTATTATTGCAAAACCTTTACTTCTAAAGACGGTGGCGTAACTAGGGTGGAGCAAGAGAAAACATCTGTCCCAGGGCGCTAAACTGATGCTACAAAATTTTAGAATGAAATTTTTTCCATTCTTGGTACACAGAAAGGGGCGCAAAATCTTCAGTTGTCCCTGGGCGCTGAAAACCCTAGCTACGGCTCTGTCTAAAGAAGAAACCAATGAAACAATTTGGCCTTTAAAATTTGGACAGAACTTGTCTTCGGAATCGTTGATTCAGTTATTTCTCAATCATTGATTGCTTCAGTTAAGTGGAATTTTGGCTAAGTGAAGTTCGATTTGTGGCCAAAATTATTATGCAGATTACTGATTTTTTTTTTTTTTTTTTTTTTTTTTTTTTTGGTTTGTTACATGAAGAAGTATTCTTTATATATACATTTATATAATACACAAAATACGCCTACTCGCTTCGTATTAATTTCTTTTTCTAACAATTTATGAAGTTAAAACAAAAAATTCAAACTTACCACAATGGCTCTTCCTAATATGCTCAAAGGCCCACACAGGCGAAGTTCATTGTCTACGATATCCACAGTAGCTACTCCATTGTTATCAGCTTCTATATTACCCAAGTCACCCACATGTCTAAAACAGTATATAAGAGTTTAATGTGATTAAAATAGCAAATAATATATAAAAAATTAATTATTCTGTACGAAAAAGCACAAATTTCGTTACAGATACAAGTATGGATCCAGAGATCGTCTTCATGTACTATGAACTATTAACAATAACTTTCGTAGTTTCGCGGTTCTAGCTGGCTGGATCCATTGTTCATTGTGGTTATGCGTTTTCTCAACTTCAGAGTCAATTGAGTGTCTCATCATCGTAGTTACTATAACGAGCTTTCATCATTTCCAGTACAGACGATCATCTTCATTTGGTTTGCTCGCTCATACAAAATTAATGCTTACTTGAATATTTTTGTCGCACATCTCGAAAGGAGTTTTCCTGAGTTTAGCCTAGAGTTCCTTGAGCTAAGCTTTTTTAAGCTCATCATCAGTTTTCTAAACTTTCGTAACTTTACCCTGACGGGCCTTTTTGTTACGTTTTATTGAAGAAGTTAATGTTTCATTTTTTACCCAGGAGTTCTTTTTACGAAGTTCTTTACAGCATGACGTATTGCTAGAAACAATTCAGGCCGGCTCTATGTTCATATCATCAATATCGATTATGTGCAATGGCGGCCGAAATATCCATATATCAGTCAAAATCAAAATCCACATTTCTAAAAGAAAAATATCGTAGTGTAAAATTATGAAATCATACGGTCATTTTAGGAGCTAAGCTTGTTAAAGATCATCAGAGGCCACAATTAAAATACATATTGTGAGGACTAAGGCAAACAGTTTTGGAATCTGCAAGAGAATCTAACCTGCAGGGAGTGGTCTTAACCGTGACCTGCGAGAGGGAGAAGGCCATGACACTTTATAAAAATGACGGAGCTTTCCATCCGATGTTATCGTCGGAAAGTCATCTGGATTTTTAACGTCGGAAATATAACTTTATCTTGTTGCTTAGTTAATTAAAATAGCTGAAAGAAAGGAGGCTTTATATGCATTATTTTCTTTAGCTTTTTAGGCTTTTTACAGATATTTTAATTAACTTTGTGCATAAATATAATTGAGAGAACCGAAGAACAAACGAACATTTTACAAACATTTAAACCCTGATTGAAAATTGCCACTGTCATGATAAATTGGGAAGAGGTTCTTAAGATAATAAGTAATATTTTACCTAGACTCAAGTAATAATTTATTCGCGTTTCAGAGCAAAATATATAAACATCAACTTCTATATCTCCAACGTATGTAAATGAAATACTATATAAATTAGCTAATAAATGTGATAAAAACTACTTCATACAAGAAACATACCTAAATCTTATATAACAAAAAAAAAAAAAGCCTTCCAATTTTCATATTTGAAATGAGATAACCTAACATACACAACTGGCAATATTTAAAAAAACACATAAACTATGCAGTGTTTGAAAGCGACCATAAAAAAGTAATAGAACTACTGTTTCCAATTAATAAAAAATCATTTAGCGTATTTTAAATAGCAAGCTGTTAAAAGTACAATAATTAGCAGCAATGCTGATGATTTTTAACATCATTTCTTTCGATCGTATGTAAATATATATATATATACATGTTTTAGACAATGGCAAATTCTCACGGCCATTTTATTCATTTTTTCAAATCAATAATATTTCTTTGGATACTTTCCCTTGGATACTGCGCAGAAATGATTTGAATAATATAAACAATAGTAAGAACTGCATATTTAAATCTGCTCTTCATTAAATAGCACACAACAAAAGGTTTTTTCCCATTTATCATGAATTTTATTGCTATCACAAGCATGTAAAAAAATTAGCAATGAAAATGGAATGTATTCAAATAAAAAACAACTTGCAACATTCGTATTCATACCAAGAGATATATTACAAATTCCAAGAGAAAAATAACATAACTGCAATTTGCACTTAATGTAAAATTTAGAGTGTTTTTTAAATATTATATGATTAAAAATGCAATAATTATGGATTATAATATTTAGTAGTAATGCTGATGTTTCTTAACACTATTTCTTTCAACCATATGCAGGTGTATCTACATATTTTAGCTTCTAAATTTTTAGAAAATGGGAATTAAAATTATCATTTATATATATTTTTGCCAATTGTGTATGTTGTTTGTTAGATTATCTCATTTCAAATATGAATGTTGGAAGGCTTTTCTGTTATAAGATTTGTGTTTCTTGTATGAAATATTTTTTATCACATTTATTAGATAATTTACATAGTATTTCATTTACATACGTTGAAGGTATAGAAGTTGATCGTTATATATTTTGCTTTGAAAAGCAAATAAATTAATACTTGAGCCTAGGTAAAATATTAATTATTATCTTAAGACCCCTTCCCAATTTATCATGACAGTGTCAATTTTCAATCAGCGTTTAAATTTTTGCAAAATGTTCGTTTGTTCTTCGGTTCTCTCAATTATATTTATGCACAAAGTTAATTAAAATATCTGTAAAAAGCCTAAAAAGCTAAAGAAAATAATGCATATAAAAACTCCTTTCTTTCAGCTATTTTAATTAACTAAGCAACAAGATAAAGTTATATTTCCGACGAAAACTTATAAAGTGTCATGGCCTTCTCCCTCTCGAAGGTCACTTCTTAGCTCGGTGCTAGACCCACGGCGTCTCCTTCTTGAATTATTCAATTATATGTAATGCTAGAGCGCAGGCCTGCCTATTTGAGCTTTTTTGTTGCATTTTGAGCCCTTTTGTTGCATTTTAGCGCGTGGCGTTGTGACGCATGCGCTCTTGTTCGTCATTTGCCCCTTGAACTGGGGAACAGGTTGTGTGTTTTTATCACGTTCTTAGCCTAATGTGGCGGTAATGTGGCGGTAGCCTAATGTGGTCTTCTCCCCCCCTCCGTATCGCTGTGTATCAGCACATATGGGAACTGCGGTACTGCATTGTCTCTGTATTCTTGAAATTGGCAGACTTGGAACTAAGCTTGGGTCTTGCTGTTTAAAAACTAAGCATTGTGCCGCCAGGGAAAAGTGACTTTCCCCTGTCTCGCCGACATTCGGATCTCTTGCCTGGTGCAAGAGTCTGACTGGTGCTCGGAAGCGCTATACAAGAAACTTTTATTCAAATATTTACATATTTCATCTCCATTTCAATACCTTCTATATATCTTGATACTGAAAATTTAGGTTTATATCTGAAGACACGGAAAATTTAATAGATAAAGAAAATTAAATGCCAAAAACTTGAACCGAATTCCTATAGCTTTTAACAGAAAACAGTTTTAAAACCAGTTTTCATTCCCTACTCTTCCCCTCCCCCTCAAAAAAGAGATACTGAGTAAAATATGCTTTTCAATTATTTTTATACGAAAATTTGGTTTTATAGTTTTGAGTGTCAGAAATTATTTCGAATGTTGCACATTTGGAATACTTCCAATTTGCATTGAGTATTTTTCAGATATTGTATTGCTTCATTTTGTCAAATAATTGTACCTATTAATTGTATTGGAAACATTCTAGAAAGTAATCCAAAATTACCTAACAGCATCTGTTGGTGCTCCATGATCCAGTCCGTAAGGATTGTAGTGTCCACCGGCGCTAGTACATCCTAAAATGGCAGAGAAAACATTCGGTTCGAATTATAAGGTTTAATATTAATTCACTCAATTATTTGATTATTTTGACTTTAATAGTACTTCTACTTTTATCAACTTCCACCACAATGCAATTTAGTTAATATATATAAGCGTAGAGCTCTTGAGTTTGAAAAAGAGATCTAGGCAGTCTTGCTGACATGCTATTTTATTATGCTTTCTTGTTACTGGGACTCATTAATCATCATTATCTTCGGCAAGCTTCATATGCTTCGTGAAATATTTAGTGTCGGTTTCGAAGTTTATCCAGGAGTAATAAACAAAGTAATATGCGTCTAAGCTTATTTAAGATCGTGTTACTTCGCATTTTATATCTTAATTTACTGAAACATTTGTTCTACGTTTCCCGCAAGCATCCGATATTAAGTTGTGTTATTGTATTGATTTATGTAAGCATCAGCCTGGTGTGTTAATAAATATGTTATTTTAAACCTTCATTGAAGTTTATGGTTACATTTCCTAAAAGGTTCGACGGAAGGATGTCTATCTGTCTGTACGATTCTAGGAGTTGGCATTTAAAATAGTATACAACCGTATAAAATGTACTCTGAATCATGCAATTTTTAAATTCTTATCTTAAGATATATGGTGCTAGAGATATTTTTATTAATTTTTAAACTAACGAAAATATTTCTTAGAATATTATTTAAAAAGACCTGAAAATTATAAGATTACTTATAATGATACAGGATTTCTTTAAATTTCCAATTAGCCAAACAAAGTAGTAAAATCACAGGACACCACTCAGTGAGAGTGGATAAAACCACAGCCTAAAGTTGCGATAAAATAGGGCCACAGGCTGATATGGGTAACAGAATAAAAAGTCAAGGTGGGGGAATTCACATATAACGGTCAAAAAAACTGGAATTGCTACACTAATGATTTTCCTTATGTCAAAACAATAAATCAAATGTGAAATTCCCATCAACATATGGTGGTGTCCAGAGTGGACTTTTGATAAAAATCCAAATGCCGATTTGTGCAAGTTTTTAATACTTAAATGTGTTGGAGACTTTGCAAGTTTCATCCAATATTTGTTTAAGATTTATGACACTTATGAAAATAGATGCAATTCATAACACAGCTTTTGCTGAACTTGGAAAATGAATTCGCCAACCATTAAAGCTATTCTTTTCTACGCAGTTTAACTATTTTATTGGGGTGAGGGTGAATGGAGGTGGGGGTGAATTTAATGTTATCTAAGTATGGGTCATGACATCTCAGTGGATCAGGACACAATTATTGGTGGGCTGGGAAAAGTTCTAAAGTTCTAAAGCATTCTTTTCATTACATAATTATATATTGTAATCAGTAATCACGAATTCATTTGTAAGTATCAATTAATTGTTAATAGTTCCCCTGTTATTGTTAATACTATGACTGCATAATTACATTATTTTTATCTAGAAAGCACTTGCAAATGGAACGTGAGGCTAAAATTTTGGAAAAAGTATATTAGAGGACCTGAAATATTAAATTTTTGTTGCTGTATTCCATCAGTCCAGTTATACCTCACCCATCATATAAATATAATCACATAAAAGTATGGAATATATGATACAACTGAATTGAATGTACACAATCTGGGGGCTTAAAAATGTTTAAGAGCTCTGTTGGCGCATTTTACGCCAACGAATCTCGCCAAATTATCGCCTCCTGCGATTGAGGCAGCAGACTTGAAGAAGAAATCTAACCGGTCTGACGTGAGCAATTACTTGTAACCGAAGCTCACAATTAAATTGTATTTTGCTTCACTGTAAATATTTGTATATGATGTTTTTCTAAATAAAATAATTAAAAACGAAGCAGTGAAGCTGGTCCGTCGATAAAAAATAACCTTTAAGAAAAATAAGTTTATTCATCTGGCTCCGTCGACCCTGGAGCCTACTTCAGCGGTATGGATATATTAATGAAAAGCAAAGCATCCCTAAAGGGGAAAATAACTAACTAGATTCGAAACTTTTGTGCAAACTGCAAATAATGATGTGGACTTAGTTGAACTTAAAGTTAAACTAAAGAACATTCAAGCTCTTCAAAAGAAAGTTGATGAACTACGAAGTGCGTGCTACGCACAAAGTGAAATGAAAGATGATGATCTGACCAAAATTGATGACGACTTACTTAAACCAATGTGATGATCGTCTGGAAAAATTGGAGGTAAGAATTGAAATTCTCATTAATTCTTACAATAAGTTAAATTCTGCAAAAGCAGTAAATGTTACTGAAAAGTAATGTAGATGAAAATTTTCAAATCAAAAACTAAAATCCCAGCGTTAGTTTTGCCTGAATTTTCAGGAAAATATGAAGAATTTAGTTCATTTAAAACTCAATTTGATGATTTAATTACAAATAATGTTCAGCTGAGTCATTCACAGAAATTATATTATCTAAGATCTTGTCTTACTAATGATGCTAAGCATTTAGGTAGTAACTTTGATAATTTTGAATCTTTGTACAATGCTTTAGAATCTCGCTATGATAATGAACGTCTGATTGTTGACATTCATGTGCAGAATATTTTAAATTTTGAAAAGGATTCAATCCGAAAATGCGAAAGATATCAGAAGTATGATTGATTGTATACAAAAGAATTTACGCGCTTTGAAAGTATTAAAATATGAACAGAACAAGTTATGTGATGTTTTTCTAATAAATATTCTTCTTCAAAAACTAGATAAAGAATCTAGAAAAAATTTTGAATTATCTCACAAATCGAAAGTAGTTCCAACATTTGACGAGTTTATTAGATTTTTGGAACAGCGTGAATCAGTTTTGTTATCTATAAATAGAAATATTACACCCGGAAGTAAGGTTAATATAAACAAGAATTCCACTCCTTCCCATAAATCGAAGGTTCTTTTGACAAATGAAAATAAAAATAAAAACTGTGTTGTGTGTAGGAGCTTTCATCCTATTTTCCTTTGCGATACATTCTTAAAGTTAAGTGTTCATGAAAGATTAAAATTAATTCGTTCACATAAACTCTGCGAATTATGTCTAAAGCAAAATCATAAGAAAAGTCAGTGTCTCTCGAAATTTAAATGCGCTTGCGGGGAAAAAAACACAATAAATTAATATGCATGGATAATGAAGGTCATTCGAAGACTCCTTGTCGCTCGGTGACGCCACTTAGACAAAACAAAATTGAGCTCGATGCCGCCGCTGGAAAAGGTGACTCAGAATTGAAAGCGTTGAGTGTTTTAAGTAACAAGAATAAACAAAAAAAGAAAAAGTGTACTTTTTTCTACTGCAGAGATTTATGTCCGTGACGCCAATAATCGAAGAATAAAAATCCGTGCGATTTTAGACAGCGCATCTAATATATGTGTTCTTACAGATAAAATAAGTGAATGCTTAGGAATAAAAAGGGAGAAAATTAAAATGCCTGTTACAGGTCTTAATGGATCAATTCAAAATATTAAATGGAAAGTGAATACATTTATTTCAAATGAAGAATGTACCTTTAATGAACCAGTTGAATTCTTGATTGTAAATAAGATAACAGGACTAACTCCGTGTACTACGTTAGATATTTCGAAAGTAGAAATTCCACAATTTTTAAATTTAGCTGATAAATCATTTTATGAAGCTTCAGAGGTACATGCCCTTATAAGTGCTGATTTATTTTTTAAGGTTTTGAAAAATAATACGTATAAAATAAATGATGATTTATTGTTTAAAGAGTCTGAATTCGGATGGATCGCATGCGGGAAGCTTAACGAAATACAACCTTCTTATCAGGGACATTGTTTTCTTGTGCAAAATGACTCTCTTCAAAATACTTTAAAACTTTTCTTTGATTTAGAGGGACTTGGTATTCGTGATGATCCAGTTTTGCATGAAAAGGATCAGGCAATGGAAATTTTTAATGACACCGTTGAATTTAAAAATGGACGTTATGTAGTACAACTACCTTTTAGGAAACATTATGAAGAATTATCTGATAATTATTCCTTGGCGCGGCAGCGTTTTCAGAATTTGTGGAGAAGATTTAGTCATGATCCTGAGTTACATCAACAATACCGTGAAAATTATTTGTGATTATTTATTAAAGAAGGCATAATCAGCATCGTAAATCCTGATACAAAAGAAAATCCTTTAAATAGGCCTATATATTATTTGCCTCATCAGGCTGTGCGGAAAGAAAGTAGTTTAACGTCGAAAACTAGGATCGTCTTTGATGCGGGTAGTCATCAAAATAATGAACTTTCTTTAAATGACTGCTTGTGGCCAGGGGTTAACTTAAATCCAAATCTTTTGGATTTACTAATTAATTTCAGATTGAACAAAATTGCATTTTGTTCAGATGTTAAACAAGCTTTTCTGCAGATATGCCTCTCTGATGAACATAAGGATGCAGTTCGTTTTCTTTGGAGTAGTGATGATCCAAGTGTTGATAAAAGGCCCAATTTACAGATTTACCGTTTCAATCGAGTAAATTTCGGGGTCAGTTCGAGCCCATTCCTGTTAGCAGCTACTATTAGACATCATATTAAAAAATACAAGGAAGATTTTCCCGAAACAGTTGAAATTTTAGACCAGTGTTTTTATGTAGATGATCTCATTTCTGGAAGTGAGGATTTTGAAGAAGCACTTGAAGTATCTAAAAATGCCAAGAAAATTATGGAAGAGGCTGGAATGGTCCTCAGGAAGTGGATTAGCAATAATGCTGAATTAATGGAGCAATGGAAGAATGAAGAATTCGATACCTATCCTGCAGACGCTACTCTCAGCTTGGGCGCACACCAAACTAAAATCTTGGGACTTTCTTGGAAGACGCACGAAGATTATTTAACTATGGATACTAAAAATCTTTTGGAATTTCTTTCTATGGACAAAAATACGAAACGCTTCTTACTTCAAGCAATAGGGAAGATATTTGATCCTTTAGGATTAATTTCGCCTTTCACCATTCGAGTTAAATACGCCTCATCCAAGATCTCTGGAATGAAAA